TTTTAGTGAAATGCAACTCCAGGGATGTTTCCTGCAGTTGCCTCTTCATGGTGGACTCTATCAGGAAGAGATGTGCACAAGGCACACCTATTATATGTATATTTATTTAGAAATTAACATGGGTGACTATGCGTACTGAGTGGATGTATTAGAACATAGAAGCTGCAGTATGTTTTTCCTGTGTGCCCACCCTTTGGAAATCCCTGGTGCTGGATGATGAGATTTTGGTTGGAGAAGGCCCTGGGGAGAGAGGGTGTGGTCTACACAGGTGGACCTGGGCTCAGTGTTTGTTTCCACCAATTACTAACCTCTCTCGGTTGTAGTGATATTAATCACAGTGGTAATGTCCAATATTTATTGAGTGCCAAGAGGCTGAAATGCAGACAGACAATGGCCAGGTCAAATATGACAGTAGAGCTTTGCCTTCTGCCTCCGTCTCTGCACAAACCACAGCTTCTGCATCATTGCATTTAACTAGCCAGGACCTGGTCATGAATCGTCAGATTCCCTGACATTTTCCCTGCTTCCAGCCTAGCATCAACTAGAAAGTCAAATAAGTCCCCCTAACTCTTCATAGAGGATGTCCTGCATGTAGGAGGTCACCTCCAGCGTCCCCAGGCCAGTGGCCTCCAGTTTTTTTCAACACTCTGAAGTGTTTCCCTGTCCTCTTTCTGCCTTTGCGTTTCTGCCACATGCGGGCATGGTGGCCAAGTCCCTTGCTATAGCTTGTTCTCATTAGGTGTCTAGCACTGAGCTAAGTCCCATAGTATCCTTGCAAATTCATGAGATGGATAACATTCATGCTTACAGCCAAGGAAAGAGAAGGCCCAGAGACCATGGGTAACTTGCTCCTAGTCACTACTTAAACAATGAGGCTGGGCTGATGTATACAAGGCCTGGCGCACAGTTCGGAGGTGCTGAGAACACTTGACAGAATGCGGTCTTCCTCATTTACTTGTTCCCCCTCTTAGTTCCCCCTCTTACACTCTGAACTCCTGGAGTGGAGAGGCAGATTCCAGTATCTGTTGCAAAGCTCAGGGTATTTTTTGAGTGACTGGGTTCCCTGCTTCCAGCAAGAGTGAGTGGATTGTTGGAACCTCTGCATGGTGAGCTCCAGGTCTTTTAACTCCTGTGATGGACTGGGGTGAAGCAGGAGAGATTTTTGACTGGGAAACACAGGGATAGAGCCAAGTAGAGCAGATGCTGAATGAACCATAGTTGGAACTGGAAATTGTATTTGCAATCAAAACCCTTGGTGACCTATGCACAAATGCATTGGTCTTCTCTTTCAGATTGCTCAATAAACACAAACAAACCCCTTTAAGAAGGGTTGTAATTTCTCCAAGTTTTATGATTGGGAAAAACCTTGGAGTCATTCAAGATAAATTTCTTATTTTACAGTCAAGAACCCACCCCCTTGCTCCTTGATCACAGAAGTGGAACTAGAACCCAGACCTCAGGTGACAGGTCCCAGAACAACTGATGAGTATTTTGTTGGTTTTACTAGCTGGATTGTGTGTGAACAGATGGCAGCCATTGACTGAGGAAGGTTGGTATCCCACCCCTTTGAGGCCCTCAGGACAGAGCAATTGAAGACTTTTAAAAAATGTTCCTTGGCCTGTAGAGATATAGTTTAAGTGGTAGATGTGGTCCTGCTAGCCTGGGAATTTACCCAGCAGGCAGAACTGATTTAATTCAGCTCCTTCCTATCAATTCGACCTTCATCCAAGTAGACACGTGAGGCTGTCTCCAGTTTTTCCTCCACCAGGATCTCAAGGCAAATTGTAGTGCTACCAACCTTGGGTACCTTGTCATTACCACTTGCAGAAGCAGCTGGCACTCAACAAATATTTACCCGATTATATTATCGCATATCCAGTTAGCCCTCCAGTGGTAATCAAATGCAGATCAAAATGTCAAGAGCGGGGAGTATAGCTCATTGGAATAGTGCTTGCCTAGCCTATGTAAGGGCCTGGGTTCAATCCCCAGCATGGGGAGAAAATATATAAACTGGAACACACCACAAGTCTCTTTCTTGTCATCATTCCCTAAATAATTTGACAACTATCTCCATAGCATTTCTATTGTATCAGGTATTATAAGTCATCTAGAGATGACTTAAAGTATATGAGGATGTGCATAGGTTGTATGCAAATTCTACACCTTTTTATATAACAGACTTGAGTATCTGAAGAGTTTGTTATCTAGGGGTGTGTGTGGGTAGTCCGGGAACCGATTCTACGGAGATACCAAGGGCCAACTTTTTAACATGTATGTGGCGGGTCCTTAAAATTTAGGGTCACCAACCACATTGAGAATCTCATGAAAGTTATAGATCTTTTCCCCAGAAAAATGCCCCAGTGGATTACGCACATAAATTGTTGTATATAATTAAGATGTATTCAGGGACTCCTGATGTCTCCCCAGAGAGCCCCTGGGGAAAGGAGTTGGACAGAGATCAGTGATTCAGGCAGAATAGAGAGCTAAAGTTAGAGGCCAGGGAGAAGTAATGTCTCAATCTCTGAGCTGCTATGGCTTTGCCTGTGGGCATTCTGTTTCCTGGGTGCACAGTGGAGCCAGAAGGGGGAATGGATGTGGAGATGGGTGTTGGTGGACTGGATCGGTGGGTAAGCATGCATATATGCATGTGTGGAAACTGTGGAAGCTGTTAGGAATGTGCTTGAAATAAGCAAGTAATGATGAAGACTGAGAAGCAACTCAAAGCTGGTGGAAAGATGGCTAGAGCAAGGGTGCAGGAGTGGAGCGCTTCTGTGTGAAGACAGGGTTCAGGGTGTGGCCCTGGGAACAGTGGGTCCCTCATGGAGTCCAGAATGTCAAGTGTCATTTATAAATGTGGAAGCTGAGGGGAGAGGTGGCCAGGGTGAATGATGAGGTCATAAATTCATGTGGCCCAGAGTCTTTTTTGGCTTTGGAGGGAGAAAAGCAATCTGTCTGAGGTTGAATCTTGCCTGGAAACTTCTCAATTACTCTGAGGCTGTACTTTTCTATTTTGCTCTTTGTCTGACATTTTCTTGGGTGTCAGACCTACCCGTGGGGGTTAGATCCACTTACTGCTGGGATACGCTAGCCCACTATCTCAGACTCCCCAGCTCAGTGCTAGATGGATGTTCCAAAATGACTTTTGCATGTGCTTTTGTTGATGGTCCTCGTGTGCCAAAGTAGGGCAGTTGGGTGTGCTGAGTACTTTGAGCTAAAGGACACTGGAAGTGCTTGGAAGTAGCCTTCGAAGCAGAGTCTCCCTGACTTGGTCTTACTCTCTTCTCTCCCTCAAAGGAAGTCATAGAAAGCAGAATTCCTACTCCCTATGAGGAGTCATAGAAACTAGAACCATTCTGCCCCAAAGCAAGCCATAAAACCTGCAAAACTCTCCCTTTTCCTTCTCTCTTCTTCCTTGCAGACTCATATTCCAGAGAGGCTGCATGCATGCTGCATAGAGAAGCCAAGAACAATCTCCACCCACCGAATCTGAATCCCCTTGGCCATCACCATTAGATCAGACCCTTTTGTCTGATCACGTTTCTAGTTGGCTGCCCCACTCTGCATTGAAGTGAAGCCTAAAAATAGCTTTTACCTGGGCCTTTGGGTGTTCATATTTGAAAGCTTCCATGTCATACAAAACTGATGAAATAAATGTGTTCAGCTTTGCTCTTGTTAACCTGTCTTTTATTACAGGAGTGTGGGCCGTGACCCTCGTGATGGGTGGGGAAAAGGGCTGACATCTCTCCTCCCCTACACTAGTGCTCATCTGCAGTGGTTACAATGACAACTGACTCAACTGGGTACCTTACCTGACCCGGTGCCTGTCATATCAGAACTGCTGTTACCCACTCAGTTTCTCTCTTGCCCAACATATGTGGTCATACCCTTGCCGGATATGGTGGTGCAAGCCTGTAATCCCAGCACTCTGGGAGGCTGAGGCAGGAGGATTGCAAATTGGAGCCCTGCCTAGGAAATCCAGCGAGACTTTGTCTCAAAA